ATTGACCCCTGGGGTACAACACTAGTTACTGGCTTCCACCTGGACTTTGTGCCACTGATCACTACCCTCTGGGCCTGGCCATTCACCCAGTTTTCAATCTACCTTAGTCACTGATAAGGTGATAAGGAAAAGTTAGCTTAAGAGAGCATGCAATGGCACAAGTTTGGCTCTGTTGAAAGCAATAAGTAAGATTCTTCAAACCCTCAACCTGTGGCCTTGTTAAGCCAAACTGTAATGGAGATGTCCAAACAGTGTAAGTGACAACACTAACACAATTACCATGCCAGCACCAGACCAGATGGCTTTTTCTGCTCTTTACTATGATTGCTTCATTCATTTTTTCCCTGCTCAACATCTGCTCCAAGTATTCATCTCAGATAGTGAATCAGAGGAGTCAAGAATTGCAGAACTCATATTTAAGCCTCAAGGAAGCCACAGACCCTTTTCCTTACTATCATGGGTGGGGAAGACAGAAGGCATCCAGTTTCCACCCTGTGTTCTCAGTACCCGAATCATATTTATTGGAACATGCGAGTATTTCTACAAGGTTTAGAAACACTTCACTTGTACAGTTTAGAGCCATTTGACACAGCTTAGCTTCCTTGAAGCAGTTTTCTCCTTAAGACTTGTTTTCTAAAATCTACCTGATTTTTTTTTTTTCTCTTCACAGGTACAGACAGTAACAGTCTAATTGTAAGAAAGGGACACTTACTCAGTATTGTGTGTATCGATCGTGTGAAAAAGTTCATGCAGTTCTTCTCCACTCAGAACTCCATCAGCAAAGTAAGCTTTGAATTCATCAAAGGACAGTTTTCCGTCGTCTGAAACAATGAAGAAATGGAAAGTGCCTAAGTTTCATTTATGGTTTTGCTTGTTTACTTTATGCAGAAGAGGAAGTTATTAAAAAGCCTAGCTCTTCAGATTAAGTGTAGAAAATTTACGTATTTGATAAAGACACATAAACCCTATGATCTTAACTGCATCAGCTGTTGTCTCAGAGTTCTCAGTTTGCCTGATAACTCTGTTACTCTTCCTCCTTCTCATCTTTCAAGCAAAGATAATTGGTTTTGGTAAGTCTACTGACAAACACATCAGTACAATCCTGTCTTTGCCCTGATCCCATTCGCTGTGGCTTCTCCCTGTTGTGCCCCACGCTTCCCCTACTTCCTCCATGCCAGTGTCTTCACCTCTGCAAGGAAGATCAGTGACCTCCTAAATCTGAGGGGGACAGAGAAAAACCAGGGAAATGCAAAAGCAAATGTTTGTTGAAGGAAAATACTAGTTCAATGAAATTTCTCCTATCTAGACCTATCTATTTATTTCCCTTTCCTTTTCCTCCTCTTTCCTCTGCCCTCTTGCTCCCACATGGGAGACTGAGACTCAAGTGCGCAATTCAATAGCAGCAGGGATCTGACCCTGGCTCTCCTCTCTAGCTAAGGACACTAATCAATACACTACACTGATTTGCAGCATTTTGATTCTCTCTTTCTTCATAAAATACATCTGTCTCAAAAAGCTCTAGGCTTGCTGTAGAATTATCAAAATAAAAGAAAGTTCTACTTTCATGCAATAGGAAGCCAGCTTAGTGTCCTCTTCCGCTGGAAAGAATTTCAGCTCATCTTTTTGGTCAGTATAGAAAATAAATTTCTATTTGTCAGCATGTAATTCGTCTGGAGATTACACAAAAATTTAGGAATGAGGAAACTGTTTTGGACATATATCAGAGGTCAGTCAAAATCCTCAGATGGATTTTCAGATGGCGTTTGGATTGGCCATGTAATATACAGTGAAGCCCAACTATGAAGAAGTTGACTTTATCTTCTAAGCTTCTGCTGCTCTCATTTGTTTGGGACAAAACCAGTCATCACCACATGGGTCCTGATCATCATCAATAACGTGTTCATGCAGTTAGGAAGTGTCTACAGGACTAATGGAACTCAGAGGGAGGGGTAGTACCATATGATAACATTTAGAAGAACAGTAATGGGTTATACATTAATTCAAGAGGAGTAAGTCCTTATTACAATCTCTACTACATTATTTAGTGGAGTCTCTTTCATCTGGTTCTTAATTTAGCATTAATTATAGCAAGCCCTTGACTACATGAGGCAAAATCCTTGTGCTGAAATGTGTTAAGCAGAGATTAATTCATCTGGTATTTTCAGGACGTTGCCACTTCAGAGTGAAGCTTTACCCTCCTTTTGTCAGAACAAACTCTGCACAACCATCAATGCTTTCTAAAGGGTATTCCAATAAATACTACAGCATTTCATTGAAGAAAGGATCATATTTGTATCTCGTTTCATTTACACGTCTGAAAATCCCAGAGAAGGTGCTATACTGCAGACTTTCCATGCTTACTTTTTTTTTTCGTAAGTGACGTCAGAAACGTATTGCAATTTAGACAGCCTGTCCTACCCACAGGCCCACATTGGCCGTGGCTGCACTGACAGAAAAGGCAGACTTAGGCTATTGTCTGTTTTGAAAGTAGGACTTCGAGATGCAAGCAGCATTATACTCTGTTAACTCTGGCCTGTAATCATATCGCAAAGGCTATTTAAACAACAGTGAGGCACTGGCACAGGTTGCCCAGAGAAGCTATGGATGCCCCATCCCTGGAAGTGTTTAAGGCCAGGTTGGATGGGGCTTTGGGCAACCTGGTCTAGTGGAGGGTGTCCCTGCCCATGGTAGGGGGGTTGGAACTAGATGATCTTTGAGGTCCCTTCCAACCCAAACCATTCTATGATATGACAGTCAGAACAACTAATTTGTTCCTGTGTATATGATTCAAGGCTGAGAAGGCGGCATCAATTAAAAGAAGAAATCTAAGATAATTCTGTTTGCTGAAATGAACTAGAGCCTGGATGGGGCTTTGAATGACATTGCATAGAAGGTGATGCAAGAAACCAACCAATGCTTGTCAGTAGGATGTTAAAAAAGTGAAAGAAGTTTGTAAATGAAAAGCTGACCCCACAGAAGTCCACAAGATTTCATGAGGGACTCCTCAAAAACAGCTGACATTTGCTTCTGTCCTGAAGAACAAGCGCCCTCTTTTCTTGCTGTACAGGTATGACTCCAGAAGTGCATGGGTTTGATGAGGTAAATCCATAACTCCATTAAAACGGTTATGGCAATTTGTTCCTCATTGACTAGTGTGTCTGAGTGAGTTTGAAATGCAAGATTGATAATCAGCAAATAAAATCCAAAGAAAAAAGATCCACCTTTTGCTTTAACTTAGAAGTTGGAATGGTTAAACAGTAGTTAAGTAATAATTTATCTAAACTGACCCTTTGCATGAAGCATAGAGGATATTTTCAGAGCCTAGCACTTTGTAACACTGCTTTGGGTAGCACTAAATTTAAGTTCACATGACTCTTTCTCTTCCTTTGGTAACATACTGAGTCATTCATAAGGCACTAAACAACTGTAGAGGATAAGACTAAGATGTCCTAAGCAGCAGACAAATCTACAACATATTGTGGCCTAATTTTGCAGTGGTTAAGAAACTATTGTAAAGGCAGTATCTGAATCCTGTAACTACATGCTGTACTACAGCATGCAGATTTGAAGAGTAGAGCTAAGGAGTTTTCTCATTCTTTTACTTGCTCATATTTCATAGTTTCTTTGACTTGAATATATGGCTTCAAATATGTAATCTTCAAGAGGTTTCAAAATTGGACAAATTGAATGTCTGCTCCAACGAAAACATTTTGAAATGTTTAATATGAAAAGACAGATTGTAACTGGAGATAATCATCATTATGATCAAAATAAAATGTCAAGATCTACAAGAGCTAAAAACCAAGACAGCACAATACTATGTTGAAGGTAGGCAATTTTCTTTGACAGAACTGCCATGATTACCTAATTGAGAATCTAAATACATCTTCCATTTGGTACTGGTTACAGAGAAGGAATATCAAATACTGAGTGTGTTGAAATGAGCTTCTTTTCACGGCTATGCTTCCTTTGGCTCATACAGATACAATCAATTGTTTAATCAAACCACCTCTGCAGCTTTGAACTTTGCTGGGAAGTGTGATTTGTATGCAAGTTATACAAATACTCAAGAAACTAGTGATTTTTGGCAACTTTTCTGAGATAACATATTATGAGTTTACTCACAGAACAGTCTGGGTATGACACAAAACCTGAAACATCTGTCCATTTATATCTGTTCTTTGGGATCATTGGCTTTACATCAATCCAGAAAATCAATGATCTGCCAACAGCCAGATTGGGCATTTTATCTATTTTCTTTAAATTTTATCATCCAAGAGCAGACATTGCCTTTTGCTTTATTGCTATTTATTCTCAATAACATTTTGAATGTTATTGACATTGACTGACACATTGCTGAGCTTGTTGCTAGCAAAACCCAAAGAGATTTGAACCTGTTTGGTTACTTACAGGCTTCATACAAGTTAGGTTTACTGAAAAAAGCTCTGGTTCTCCTGGGAATTTCTCTGATTTTGTATAAGGGCAACTGCTTTGCTAGTGCAGCTGGGGACTCAGCCACCGGTGGCCCAGGCTGCCCCGCGCTTCCTCAGTGCTCAGATGAAGCTCAGACGCAACCCCTAACAAGCGCTCCTTGTGCTGTTTAATTGAAGACACATTCGCCTAGCCAGGTTTTTTTTGAAGTGTCAAGAATGGCTTTTATTTTAAAGGGTGCATTACGTATCCTCAGCACGGCCTCCCTGAGGCACACCTCACTGCCCTCGGAGTGCCCAGATAAATACTGGTTTACTGTCTGGTTTAAATGCTTCAGGGCAGCTGAGCAGAAACCTTTATTATAGATGTTTCAACCCCTGTCACTGCCAAAGCGACAGGGGATGGATGATTCATGAAAGGCAAACTTCTCTGAAGCCATGCAACCCTCAGACAAATCAACCTTCAGCAGCATTTGCCTTGGCAACGTTATCTCAAAGAAGCTGTTTTGCAAGCCTTGCTTGCTTTTGTGTATCTTCTTTGACGTCTTTCAAAAGCAGGGTTTCTTCAAAAACAGGCACAGTTGCCCGTCCTCCTTGGAGCCAAAATACTCCTGACTGCCAGACAAAAATATAAACAATAAAATGAAATATATTTGCACAGTGTTTTAGAGGAGCCTTCCTTCAGGTTAGAATTGCATTCTTACATTTATTTCAGTAAAATTCACCTTGACAAGATGTTTTTATGTGTAAAATAGACCCAAGGGATATCCTCCAGCCAGTCTGCTCCAGAAACACTAGTAATCTCCAGGACACATTTAGGATTGCTTATGACTTCAATAAACAGCATATCTGATGAAGGAAAGCGACACACACTCTCTTTTTGAGTTGAAAGATTACTTTAGTGAGTTAAAAGATATCAAGTAAATAATGAACAAAGGCATGTATATGTTAGGAGTCTATGTGCCCGAAGACAATGGCAAATGGTGAGTCTGCAGGCAGTGAAGGAAGTTACGGTGATGTAGAGGAGCAGGATGTCTCGCAGAGATGTCAGAAAATGCTGAAGCACAACACAATAGCTTCCATTCCCACCTATTTTGGGCTTGTTCACATGTTCACATGATTTTAGGCTGAAATCCCCTGATTGTTGCAATCAACAACAATTTTGCTACTGCGTGTATTATCATGCTATTTTATACAGGTTTAGAATTCTACATTTAAAAATGTAATGTCCCTGCTCTGTATCATGGACATCAAGAAGTGCTGTATGAAGACATATGACAGAATGAGAAGATTAGTCTCATCTGACTGTATTTTTCATTTTACAGATTCTAGATCAATGACATTACAAAAGATGTATTTTTAGGGGGGAAAAGAGCTTTCATTGAGTGATTGTTTGAAATGTCAGAGAAAAAAATGAAACCCGACATAAATGCGCTAGTTCCGGCATTAATGACATTTTGTTGTTGGTCTGTGTTGGGTGTTTGACATTCAGATTTGGCCATCTCTGGAGCTTTAGTCTTCTTTTGTTTACTCAGTTTTTTTAATTTTCCCTCATTTGGTTGCAGTCATTCTTGACTGCCTGCAGTGTACTGTTTACTGTGTTCCTTATGGTTAAGGCTTTTTTGGTTTTTTTTCTTTTTTAAAGTCTCTGCTTCTGTAGCAGATATTACCTATGATGTTTTCAAATATCGTCCTCTTAGGAGCTTTAAGGATGTTTAAGATATAGCTTATACTCAGTGCTTTTTCAGAACAGCTGACTTGTATTTGCAAATCAATGACAGCATCTATATACAAACCATCTTTTCTAAACCTGTCATATTAGAGCTGCCCTTTTTAGGGCTCCTGCTTGGAGCTGGTCTGAGAGTTTGGGGGCAGGAACTGTAAGTTTGGAACAAGGCCATAATCAAATACCAGTCTGAAAACTGTGGAGGAGACATCTGAGAGGTCCTTCTGGAGGACGTGGCTGGGGGTCATTCCCTCCTCCCTGCAGGTTTGACTGGATGGCTGTTCTCATGCTGAAAAGCGCTAAGAGCAGTGTTAAATGCCAGGGCATGCCATGTTCCCAAAGCAGGGGAGGAGGCTCATGCCTTCAAGGGTGGCTGTTGTGCTGGTGCATACACTCAGCAGCCCACAGCCAGGCAAGCTCACAGCCAAGCCACTGGGGTCAGAGTAATTTGTTTCCACCATCATAAGAGATTAGATCTGCAGCAGCCAGGCTCCCCTCAAGAAAAAGCTGGAGATGATAAAGTAAAAGACTCAGCTAAAAGGGAAGAGCAGCCGCCTTCTTCCCCAGGAGGACGGGAGGAGAAATGACCCCCCACCTTGGTGCGGGCAAAGACAGGGTACTGCTCTCCAGTTATTTTGTGGTAATCCTGTACTCTGGTCCGTGTTGAACCATCAGTGGTGAAGCACCTTCTCTCAGCTGAAGGAAGACTATTAGTCTCGCAAAATTGAGACCTGCGTTCTCAGTAGATTATTACCTTTTTTCTTTATTTTGACAGTCACATCGTTTGTAATTGGATTTCTGTAACATAGACTATATTTGAATTTCCATTCCTGTGCTATCAGGAGGAAATTATAGCATGAGGTTATACTAAACGGGCACATGTCAAAGCTGCATGATCGGGAGAGGCCCCTGGGTGACCTTTGCCGACAACTGATATCGTTTCACTTGATCGCAAATCACTGCAAGGCTAATGGTGTGCCCCACGACCCTCTTAGCATATCAGAAGATACAAGAAATGCCTCATGCACAGAAGCACCTATAGGTGCTGCAGTCACACACGTGTGCGGCAACCACTATTGCCTGTGAAATGAGAGAGGTAAAAAATTTTCTTAATTAGGAAAGACTGCATTTGGCAGTTCTAGCTTCCTGTATTTCTTTACTCATTCTATTGCAGGATAGGGACAAGATTTTACCTTTTGAGAAGAATTTAATGGGTTTGATTTTGTTTTAAATAGCAAAAGGAATGAAATAAATGAAGAACTTTCCTTTTAGCTGAAAGTTTTCCAAATTAGATCTGTATGAAATCCACATGCTTTCCTTTGAATGCATGGAGTTTTGTAAAGTAAACCTGACCAAAATTTCATTTTGACATACAAACCTGAAACTTCTCCTTTCCAAAAAGGTCAATATGTGCAACATCTCACCTTTATGAAATTGCTTTTTTTTCCCCTCAGGGTTTTCTGTTGCTTTTATCAATATTATGAACCATATATTTCTTAGAAATGCGATATTCCTTCCCTATGCCTTGTTCTCCCTCTAAGAAAATCACATGCCCTTTTCGGTTACGGGAGGAGTGTGGATGTGCTCCATATAGAGCGGAGCTGCTCAGCCATGAAGTAAGAACTATAGATAGAGTTTATGAAGCTGATCCTCCTGTGGAAGCTGCTCACAGCTGGTATTTCCAGAAGCGAGAGGGTAACAGCGAGAGGGTAATATATGTACCTGGGCTGGAAAAGAAAGAAGCCTTCACCCCAAAAGAAACATTTGTACAGCTTCTTTCAAATAGGGGAATGACTGTTTGATAAAGGAGTTTCTCACTTAAACCCAACTGAATAAATCATTGTTGTATTTTTGAGTAACAGCAATTCAGCAGAATTTGATCTCTTATTTTATATTGTCTTTGCAAGAATAGTTGTCTGTCTGTGTTGTGGAAGGCTAACCTGAATTCCCACAGTCCCTAGATTCATAGTAGGAACACTATCGCCTATAACACTCCTATTTATCAGTTTGAACCACTTTTTTGGATGTTTTTTTCTTGCCGTCAAGCAAGTATCTAGTAAGGTTTTGATGATAAATATTTTTCAAGTCTTTTAATCTCACAGAGGGAATGAATACGGCAGCTCTGAGACAATCCTGTTAGAAGTGTATGGGAGAACTTAACAGGACGGTGTCATGGACAGTAACATAGTATTTGTTACTGTAAGCCAATACTTGGTTTCCTGTAGCACAGAAGGGTGACACTGAAAGTGTATCCTAGTCATTAACAAAAGCCAATAATCTGTGTTGACAACAGTGTAAACATGTTAGGTAAGTGTTCACATATCCAATAACCTTTCTGAGAAGGTACTGAACTTCCCAGCCTTAAAACAAATCTTCTCCCTATTAATGTGGCACGAGCCTGTGCAGTGCTGAATTAGCAAAGCGGAAGTCCCAGGGGCAACAGATGGTTGAGCAAACACAATTAAGCACATAAGAGCTGAAACCATTTCAAGTTCATCGAATTAAATTAATAGAACTAAAGTGACTGAACTTAACTACTTTAGTCCCAATAATATGTTGTAAAGCATCCATACGTAGGTACGAATGCCAGTGACCAAAGGCTCTGAGGCTGATGTGGTTTCATATTGTCCTGGAACAAGCAAGTTTGTCACTGATCATGTAGGCTGTTTCCCCTGTTTTAATAGCAACATATAAATAAGCTGTGGGGTACCCCAGCAAGAAGTGCTGTGGATCCACCAGGGCTGGGACAGAACAAGAGTTCAAGGTCCAGGGCAGGCACATGAAGCTGTAGTGACTCTTTTTGACTCCAGGGGGATGATGACCGCTGGTCTGCACTGTGCGCTCTAACTCTCATCAGTCTTCGGGGTAGACATGTAAACAGCTATTCCAAACACCACGAGGAGGTCTGCGGGGGATGCCAGCAGATCTTGGCTGTGGGTGGCATGCAGCTAAGCTGGAAAGGCACTGCTGAAGGGTAAGATGCTTCTCCTCCCCATCCCAGCCCTTGCCTTGGGTTTCAACTTGCACCATCACTGCCCTTGCAAGCCACTGGCAAGCTGATTGAGTGAGATAACAAAAACACTACCAAAAACCTCTCACAGTGATGGATTTTGAGGGTCCTGAGCTCTCTGAAGGAGCCTGCCATGGTCTTGTGGGAAGTGCCAGTTGTTGCACATGAGCTGGGGCAGGAATAACAACCAAAGGTGGATTGTGAGGGTGGGATTGCCCTCTCAGCAACAGGAAATGGTTATTCAAGAGGCTCAGTTATACCATCAAACCATATGGTAGCCCCTTACTGTCCAATAGTTCTTCCTTGAATGTAATTCTCTCTGATTTCCTCAATGGTATCCATTTGCCTTCAGATACCTGAGAGTACACTTTATCGAACCTGCACAATACCTCTTTTCTGATGATTGACTGGGAACTACTTGTCAGGTTTAAACTTGTCTGAGCTGTGGTGCTTCTGCAAGAAGTCACATCTCCCTTCTTCCCGTACTTTGGTATTGCAGTGCTAAATAATTGCAAGCTTGTATTTCCTTCTCATCCCATAAGCTCTAACTCTGGTTATCTAAACATAAATACTATTACGGTAACTGCAGAGCTACAGAAACTCTTTATAGCCTCAAACATACTGAGTCTCACATTCTGTGTGACGCAGGGACACGGTAGTGGCTTCATTTCTTTTCTGGGGTATGTGGCACAAAAAGGACAATGTAACTTGTCCAAAATTGTGCAGAAATTCTGAGATGGGAAATGGAGTTAAAGTCAAGTTCAAGTCCGTGACTATGTGCACCAGGAAAAAATCTAGTGGTTACACTTGCAGTCCTTACAGCAAGGACCTTCACGTGCTGCAGCCAAAATGGGAGCATTTGTGAAACCTTACAGTACTATGCTCCAACTTACTGAATTTAAATAAGGGAAAAAATATACGTGGAAGGAAAATCAGTCAGTAGCACGAGGACAAAACTTTTGGTTAAGAACATAATAAAAAACTCATTACTTTTGTATTATAAATATGTGAGTTGAATTCAAGGCTCTATTCTGCCTACTGACATGCCAAACAAATACATAACTGCAAAATGTAGGAAACAAGTCTGATTGCTGAATATAGCCTATGGTGTTTTTAAAAAGTAATAAGATGTAGCTACTAACAAGTATTTCAGATGTTCTTGTGAACATAATGTCACTAAGAAAACACCCACATGGCACCCAAAGTGCAAATCAAACACACATGCCAAATTGTGAAAGCACAAGATGTGCCCTTAAAGAACCCACAGGGAAGATCAGTGCACAACAAAATATATTGCATTGAACCTGTAGAAAACATAAAATGACATGAGGGATGGCTGGTTTTCCTGTTAAGATATTTAAAGCAAGACATAAAATGGTGAATTCATGATGGATTTTTTTTTTTCCAAAGGGAGGGGGGAAGATATGTGACAGCTCTTACCATTCTTGTCTGCTCTTCTTAATATCTAAACAAAAAGAGAGAGAGAACAGAATTACTTTTTTTTTTTTTAAATGTGGGTTAATAGCACACAATGCTGTATTTAGTGGCCATTTATAGTTTGAGCTCTGCATCATATTTTCACAAGGCTGCATAAAATAGAAAGGTCTCCATCCTTCCCTCAGAGTATTGCTTTCTTTAACTCCTCCTGTGCTGTGTGTACTGAAAACCAAGTCCATAATATGAATCAGCTTTATTTTCTAGTTGGTGCATGGCTTATAAGGATGGTGTTTAGGCACAAGACCTGCGCCCATATGGCTACCATGATACTGGATTTGGGGTTGAGAGAAGTGGTTTAAAGGAGAGAGCAAGGATGATGGCTGGGAGGATGCACTGAGCGTCTGAGATGGTGAGGAAGGCTCAGGGTTTGTGTGGGTGGAAGAAGCAAAGGGATAAGTCGGGAGAGGAATTGGGTGACATGAAGGGATCAGACTGGGTGTAGGAGGCAGTGAGATCAGATGTGTGGGAGCAAATTTGAGGACTGCTCTGACAGCAAGTAGAAACCAGATACAGAGGAAAGGGGAGAGGGAAAGCATAGAGGTTTATAATCTGGGAAGGCAAGGGCAGCACGAGGGTGCCTGCTGTAGAACCTTTCCTGCAATACTTCTGCCACGAAAACTGTACGTGACCCCAGCTTACCCTCACGGTGTGCAGGTCTACCTTTTCTCCCCACTGTAAATGGCACCTGCTGAGAGAAGCTATTTAGATATGCAGGCAAGAGTCCGTAACTCCTTTTGCAAAGCCTGAGAAGAGGATCCTGGGGGGTGCATCCCGTGGGGAGACGTGGCAGAGCCTTCCAGGCCCAGCCCTTCCATCGGCGAAGGGGACACAGCACCAACCCATGCAGGACTGTATGCAGGTGCACTGGCCCTGTCTTACTGCTGGTGAGAGGCCGGCATGCCCACCTGTCCCTGCCGGAGTCCCACGACAGGTACCACCACATTAGTCACACTTTGGACAAGGGATCAGAGATAGGGAGTAGAAGCAACAGAGGGGGTCTCCTCCAGTTTCTTTGCTCCCTGCTCTCCAGATGAGGTGGTTTTGCTGTGGCATGGGTCACCACGTGACACTTCAGATACGTGCAATTGCTATCCATTGTCACCCCGCTACGTTTCTGGACATAGTCCCCATTGCCACCTTGGCCTGAACTGCAACTGGAGTCATCAGGCAATGCCATAACAAGTTTAGGCAAGGGAAGAAAGCAAATCTTCCGAATATAGTTTCTATTGCTGCTATGAATATCAGTAAAGAGTTTCAAAATGGGCACATATATTTTTGAGAGCTGACAGCAATGGAAACATTCTCCGGTTTGGTAAACTGCTAGAAGTAGTTAAACAGCTTCACCAGCACATGCTGTAACTGCTCTGCCCCTAGAGCTAAATGAGAAACCCAAGGATCCAGGTGCCCAGCTCTGTCAGAGCATTTTTGTGACTGTATCCTGTAGAGTAGGGTTGGAGGGGAACTAATAGAATTGTGACCCACATCCAGGACTTCACTGATGGTCTCTAAGCTGAACTTCTCATTGGACCAAGTTTACAGCACCTAAAGTATGAAATGAACTCAGTAAGATGACATCTTTCCCCCCTATATATCAAAAAAAATTCATATATTGCAACTCAATTTTCAGTTTGAGGATTGGAAACTTTAGGGGTTTTAAATTTTTACTCTTAAACTGGAAATTTTCTCCTAACAAGAACTAAAGACTAAATGCAGAGCAAAGGAAAGATCATTAAAAGCATTATTAGAATAAAATAAAAACAGCCCTTTACAGGTAAAATACAGTTTTAGATTCGTTGCAGGTTTGGCTGGATTTTTCAGGGAACTGTTGTTGGTCTTTCTCCTATCTCACTGGCAAGCAGCCTTGTTTCCTTCTTGTGTCACCTGAAGGGAAGTCAGTCTGCTTGTCAAGGTATCCCCCTCCATGCTGCCTGCAGGACTTGGCGCTGCTCTGGAGTTAGTAACTCTGTGTTAACAGATGGCAAAGCCAGCGTGGTGAAAGGTTTTGCAGATTTTCAGCTGGAAGTGGAGAGATTTGTGAAATACAGGGAGGGTGGAGGAACACGACGCCCTGGGATCTAATGGCTTCCTTCTGCCCAGTTACACCCAATAAAAGGGAACAGCGGGTACCCCCAAGCAGATGCACACCAAAGGGGCCAGCGCCGAAACCCTGCTCCTCACCTCGCGGGTGCCTGGGCTGAGCTGCACGCCGTGGGCATGTGCACAAGCAGGTCTGATGGGACAGAGCAAGGTGTGCTTCAGCGAGGTGATAAATATGCCCAGCACGGACCCAAGCAATATGAACAGGTGACCAATGATTTGTTCCATGAGTAACAAAGGCCCATGCAGAGCCACGCTGGTGTTACAGCCACACCAGGTGACGCAGCCCACACCTTCTGCAAGACTTCTATGCGAGCAAGAGCGCTGGATGCTCAGGCTTGGCTTATGGATGTATGTATAGGACTGAGACAGCTGTAGTAGCGGATTTTCAATCAACTAGAAGTGTCCCACAAACATGGGTCAAGGGTGGCAAAAGTTTCTGTATAAGTAATTTTTCTTTTTTTTCTTTTTAAATTAATTTTAATGTATTTATTAATTTATTACTTAGGATTTAATTCTTTGATTAATTAATTAAAAAACCCCACGTACCTTAAGGAAATATTAGGCTCCTTTGGACACCCGATAGGGACTTTGACACAAAACCAAGGAGGAGGTTACATTAGAAATGAGGTCTCACTCTCATTAGGTCTCTGTCTACCTCCTTCCTGGTGGGACCAGGACCTCAGTGCCTGCCCTTTCTGCACAGCCTTGCAGCCAGTCTCTTGCTGCCTGGTCTAATTTACAGTTAAGCGTTTATACAGGTGGAGGTACTTCACTGAGGGCTAATCACAGAGCTGCACACCCCCAAGGACATGAGGGTGCTCTCACAGGAGGAAAAGCCCCCAGGGTCCAATCCCTGCTTTGAAGCAGGCAGAGACTAGGTTTGAACGTAAGGTTTTCCACTAGATGTAAGAGTAGAAGTACAGCAGCAGCCTCCCTCCCTCCTCTTCACTAGATTTGTGAAAGGCATCTGCTTTTCTATAAATATGAGCCTGACACTGGTTTAAGAAATTGCTGAAAATTAAACAAATATATTTTCATTTGAATTATTTTTTTCTACTTTGGGTGAAATCAAAAGTTTTCAGTTTATCAGATATTCTGACCATGTACAGTTTCCGAAACCAGTGTGCTGAGTTAAACTGGGGAGTTGGCTACAATGTTTTTTACCTCTTTCCTGGCAACTTAGGTTTCTCTTCTGTCTTTAATGTATGTCTGTAATTCTCCTGTTCCTCTTACAAGTAGTATTTATAAGACCAAAAAAAGCCGCATTTTCATTATACACTTGAATTAAAATAATCATTGTCAACAAAAAGTTGAATTTAAATGATTTCTCATGGAGGCTAGAGAAATCAGGAGATGAGCAGATTGGGGGCTGCTTGAAATAATTTAGGGAAAAGGTTGGGGAAGTTAATGTGGGCACATTAGAGAAAACATCTAGCTAAAGGATCCTTCAATACAGAACATGTCGTTTCCAGCTGATACTGTGGACTAACCCAGATATAAGAGGTGGTCTGAAGTAGATCAGAGTTGGTCTGAAGATTTGTACGTCTCATTAAGGACAGGGGATACTTTGGAGATCTTTGGGTGGGAGTTTGCCTTTTATCAGGACTTGCCTTGGACCAAAGAAATGCTCTGTGCTGGGCAAGTTATACAAAAAACTTTACAGCTGCATCTTGTGAGATGCTGGCCCCTTGGTTATGGTCTAGCACAGCACCCCTGAGGGGTAGGATGGCCAGGTGCACAGGAGGGCACCGTGCCAGGCTCCCCCTCAAAGAGCTGAAGGGATCAGGGTTGCTCTGCACATCAACCCTGGGCACCTCAAATCCATCAGGGTCTAATGGCATGGGAGGGAGCCTGCACACTTTGGGAAAAAACTTCTGCAGGGTGAGAAACTCTTCAGTGAAAAGCCTGGAAAAAATAAAATAATAAAAATCCAAGCAACGCCTTTTGAAAAGTGACAGCGTTTTCACTCAGCACCTTTCCTAACCATTCCCAACTGCTAACCTGCTCTCCTCATACATGCACATCATTGGAAGCAAACTTGTTCCCCTCATTATCATTTTAAATGGTAAAAATATGTAAAAATTGGGAAGAGGAAGGGGAAGGGAAGGGGGAAGGTAAGGGGGAAGGGAAAGGGAAGAGAGGAGGGAAGAAAGAAGGGAAAAGGAAGGGGAAGGGAAAAGGGAAGGGGAAAGGGAATCATAGAATCATAGAATGGTTTGGGTTGGAAGGGACCTCAAAGATCCCCCATTTCCAACCCCCCTGCTGCAGGCAGGGACACCCTCCACTAGACCAGGTTGCCCAAAGCTTCATCCAACCTGGCCTTGAACACTTCCAGGGACGGGGCATCCACATGGGAAAGGGAAAGGGAAAGGGAAGGGGAAAAGGAAAAGGAAAGGGAAAAGGAAAGACCCACAGCCTCACTGAGCTTCACCCCCTTCCACTCCAGGGACGAAATCACGGCTCCAGAAAAAAAAAAAAAAAGAAAAAGAAAAGAAAAAAAAAGAAATAAAAGAAGAAGAAAAAGAAAAAAGAAAAGGAAAAAAGAAAAAAGAAAAAAGGAAAAAAAAGAGAGAAAAAGGCAAAACAGAAAAAAATACACCCCCCACCCCCAACCGCTTGCAATTGCTGCCTGTGCTGGTGGGAGACGTTCATGTCAAGGATGCCGCGTACTCACATCGCGGAAGATGCGCAGCCCCGCT